TTAATGATGAAAAAATATGAAACATACGTTTGCAGAACTGGCAAAACTATCATAATCTTTCTATTTGCACATACAAGTAATCTGATTGGAGATGTCATTCCTAACCATTAACAGTTGGGCTGCAACTATTATTTTACCATAATATAAAATTAAACGGCTTATTATTAATTGTATAGTTGGACCATCAATGTTAGAAAAAAAAAAACTGTCCCCATCAAGACATTTATTGTAGTAGTTGCTCAGTGTAAAACCAAAAGATACTCATCATGCTAGATTAAATCATTGGCATATTAAATGCCAATGATGTTTAACAACAGATACTTGTTCTGGCTGTAGATTATTAATAGATATATTAATAATCTATCAATATTGTTATTATAATTATTACTCACTGCCTCCTCCTCTTTGTCTACGTTGCTGGTCTGGGACAGTTTGACGTTTCCAGTGCCCAGCTCTCCAGAGGCGGAGAACTTGACTCCGTCCTTGGCGCAGGAGATCATGACGGCGTCACCAATCTGGGACAAGTCACGGCAGATACGGGCAAACTCCCCGGAGGGCATCTTCACCACACAGCTGTACTCCTGCTCCTGAAGGGAGAGACACAGACAGAAAGGTTAGGAACACTGGATGAAATTAAAGCGATTAAAGAAAAGGACATGACGAAAATTACTTACTGGAATACCAAGCTGCTCCACATCCAGATCCATCAACTTCATCTCATAATCTGAGACCTTCTCCTGGTCTGCAAGAGTGAAGAGAAAAGAGGTAAATAAACAATTTGATCCTGATAAGAAACTTTTGTCAAGTTGCTTTGATTCTGCTTTAAAGACAATAACTTACTGATTGTCTCAAACACGAGTGCTAGTGTGTCTGCATTGTCTTCTGCTCTGAGGGTGATGATGTCTTCATTTCCTGCGCACTTCAGGATTTTTGACATACTGTACGGGAGAGAAAAAAGCCAAAACTGTTACAAACTAGAAAACATCCAATTTCAAATAAATAAAGTTTCACCTTTAAGTGTGTGTATGAATTTCTATTACAATACATTTTCTGAGGGTTTATTTGTTAAGGATTTGGGCTGATAAGCAATTGTATGATATATCATAGGGCTGTGCAATTAATCGTATTTTAATCGCGATTACGATTATGGCTTGCGACGATTATGAAAACAGCATAATTGACAAAATACGATTATTTTGCTGGGTGCGCTTTCGCCCCTCCCTAAAAGCCCACTCGGCCACGTGGGAGTGACATGTGTTGTGAGTGTTCAGCGCGAGCGAAGATGTCAGAACAAGAGCAGCAACTCGTTAAAAAGAAGGGTCGCGGGGAGATTCCCAGTCGATCGCGAGATGTGTCTAAAAATAGAACAACAATATTCTGTTTTATCGTTAATGTCCTGTAACATAATGTTCCCGTGCCAGAATAATGCACTTGAACGCATCAAAGCTTTGTGATTGGCCGGCCTCACCCCATGTGTCGGGGCGTGGCTGGTGAGCAGTGCACTGGTGAGCTGACATTGTCCATGTCAACAGCATGGATGGTCAACAGGAGTGACAGTCCGCACACACACAAGACCGCAATTATGGCAGAAGCAAAAAAGCCCAAAATATATAATTTTCACTCCGAGTGGGAGGATCATTATTTTTGTATCTATTCCAATTCAAAGTCCATCTGTCTGATCTGCAATGCGAGCGTGGCTTTATCGAAGAAGGGTAATTTAGGAGCGGCATTTCAAAACAGTGCACAAACGCTACGAGACGGAATTCCCTCCTAATTCTGCCCTACGCTCCAAAAGGGGAGGGGCCTGAAAGGACAGCTAAATGCACAGCAGTCCATTTTCACCAGGCTCAACAACAAGAGCAAGGCTGCTACCAGAGCATCTTATCGTGTCAGTCACGTTCTTGCGAAACACATGAAGTCTTTCGAAGACGGCGAAGTTATGAAAGAAGCTTTCCTGGAGGCTGCGACGCGCTTTTGTGGGACAATAAAAATAACAGTAGCATTTCAACAGGTTTTTGATATAATAAAAACTCAATTTAGATACCGTTATTAATCTGCTGTAAGTTTTGGTTTGTTTGAATTTATTCATGATAATTATTGTACAAAATGGTATAAGAATGCAAACATTAAGATCTGTTCTGTTTAAATTGATTATAGTCTATCAGTTCAGAAACTAGTGTTGCTTGCATCCTATTTTAAAAAGGCATTTATTTTTATACTCTAATAAAATGCAACAAAAAATGGTTTGATTCTATTAATGTTGTCTTTTTTATTGCACTGTTGCTGCAGCAGATTACTGTGTAGCTTCAGATCTGAGTTGTCTTATTAGTAAGCCTAATTTATACTTTTGTAGCAACACTATTTTTATATAATGGCAAAGAAAGAGTCTTTTCTTTTTTTCCTGTGTCATGTGGCAGCACTGCCACAAGTTCCTCTTCAGAGAGGGTCTTCAGTACAGGTGGCAATATCGTCACCTGCCTGCGCTCATCTCTGAAACCAGACCATGTAAACAGGCTGGTGTTTCTTGGAAAAAATCTTTAAGAGATGACATGAGCAGCCCTACCAGCATTTGCCATGGTGGCCTAAACATTTTTATTTGGTCTTAAATTGTAGTTCAACATTTATTTCCTGTTACTTCTGGACCATGATGGTTGGCCAGCCTTCAACGTTTAACTGAGTGGAATATGTGGAATATGTTTTACCAAAATGTTGGCTATATGTTAAGGAGTTTTCAGTAGGTTGTGACAGTGCACTGCAACATATTTGATTTCATTTATTTTGGTCTAATTTATTTGTATTTATCATATTAATATATGTTTAGTATGGTTTTGGAAGTGCGCTCCAACATATTTATTGATCTTGTTTATTGGTAAAATATTATTTGTTTTAAAGTTCAATAAATGGTCAATGAATAATGGTGATATCAATTATTGACCCAAATAATCGAGATTATGATTTTTGCCATAATCGCACAGCCCTAATATATCATCAATAAATCAGTCAGTTACTTCCCAATTACTTAATTGTGATTGAACGTAATACATGTAAAACCTCCAATTTAAAAGTTGATATTTTAACTAATATCTGAAGTGTTTTTGGCAAACCAAATACCTATACAATTACAAAATAAACAACAATAAAGGAACCATGTGTGTGCCTATAATAATCTTGACATGTGGAAACAGATTTAACATCTGTATTTCATATGTTTCTTTATGTAAATAATGGGAAACTGTAATAAAAAGCTCAGTGACTAAAAGCTCCGGCACAAAGCGGGGTGGCAGTGAAACGGAAGTGGAAGTTCCCGGGTTGAAAACAATTCCCGCCATCTCTCCACACGGAGAGTTTGGCGCTCAAAAGACGTCGCTACATAATGACAATGCAGCTGTCGCCTGCACTGCACCAAATATAAAGTTATGGAACACCCAAAATGAAGTATTGTTAAGCCAATCGGGCTATTTGTAAATAGTTCAGGCACAAACCTCACGATTTTAACAGAGAGTAAAGAGTTAAATTGACACTCCAGTAGAGACATGCCCGGGCAATATTCCGCCAAGATGGCCACCATCTTTCTAAGCTTCAGATAATAGACAGTTCATTTATGCTAATAAATCAACTAAAGCGACGGGTTTTAAAGTGTGCGACGCTAGAAGTTTGTGATGAGCATTAAAAACGAGCACACAAACCAAACCTCTGTTGTTCTTAATGAATTCAAACAGCGCCAAACTTCAGCAACTGAACTTGTCAAACTAGTGTGACATGAGTCAGCAAATGGATCATTTATATGTGAGCCAACATCCTAAACAACGCAACAGATGTACCACTTGAATGTTTTATGGCCTAAATGAGCTTTAAAGTGTGCTGCACCTGCTGAGGTTGACTCCCATGGCGAGGTTTCTGTCGCAGCGGTACGAGTCAAAGCCGTCGTGCCGCAGGGTGAGCTGCACCAGCGAGACGTGAGAGGAGTCCATGCTCTGCAGGGAGATGCCGGACGAGCTGACATCCCAGCAGGCCTCTGTGATCAGGTCCTTCAGAGCCTCCAGCACCTTCTTCAGGATGGATCCCTGCACCAGGCGAGCCTCAAACATGGTTACTTTGGAGATTTAAGTCTGCGTAGATTCAAACGAAAAGATTACTCGTGTTACTCCGGCAGTGTGGAGGCTGACAAATTGAGTTATCACCGAGTGTGAGAGCAAGAAACTCCTTTAGAAGTTCAGTCTTTGTGTTGTGAGCTGGCAAAAGTGCTTCACGCAGACACCACTCTCACTGCAGAGGGAAGGTTTGAGCTGTAAGCGCGCGCTAACGTCAACTTATAATGACTTGGCGTTTTTGCGTCATTTCCGTGTCCGTTGTTGGTACGTCACAACCGCGAACATCAGTGGTGGGCACTGCTGTCCGCCATGTTGGAGAGGACAATTCTGTAAAGAGCAGATACCATGGATGTATTCAGGTATAACGACAAATAAACAACTTTATTCAAGTCAGGGAGTCAAAAGTCAATTTATTTAAAGACCTTTCCGAGTTTGCTTTGACCCTTTTGCTAAAATAACAGCAGGCAAATGGCCAAATAACAAAAATTGATTATATTTATCCGACAAAATGTAACTTATTATATTGTGAGGATAATGGACTGTGTGTGGCTAACTATTATTATTCTCCGTTACCCTAGTTTTTTTAATTTGAAATAACAAATGTGCCACATTGCAACCCCAAACCAATATCATAAACACATGGTTGTAATTGTAATTTTTACCCCAAATACATTAGAGAATATTCTGTTCCAAACCATTTTACAACGTGAAACTTTTCATGCAAACCTTCTCAACAACTACAGGACTTTCTTCCTTCTGCCAAGCAGTTCAAAATAAAATACCTTGTTAAATAATATGCCAATACCTAAAGTATGGCATAGTATGTCTGCTTCTTATACTCCTTCCCTGATTCTGATGAACTTGTGCAAACATGCGCAACTATTAACTATATAGAAAGAAGACGGAACATTTTAATTTCAAATGTTTTATTAATCATTTAGAAGTGCTTGGTTTCACTGACACACAGCATCCCACACAACCCATGTTTGTCGCACACATACAGACACGAATAAAAAGGATAGTATTTTAATACTGCCATTTAACCCCTGAGTATATTTACGCATGTTGATTTAGCCAGGGTCATTGAGACTTGGTGTAGACAGGAAAAACTTCACAAGATCTTGGAAAGGGAGTGAAGAATATTCTTGCAGAGTGAACACATTGTAAGGAATGTCAGACAGAAACATTGCACTATTTGCAATATGTGTTGTGGTAGGGATTTCATTTTTTATTGGACGGTTCCAAATGTGTGTTGGCATAGAGTGCAGAAGAACTTTATGTTCCTGGTGTATCCGTTTAGAGACTATCAGAGAAGATGTAGTGGGTTGCCATGGCGAGGATGGGGGATCCTGTTGGGACCCCTGGGAAAGGACCGCTGGACCCGGCAATGTCAACGTGGGAGTACGGCAGAGGGGCCTTAGAGTCCACACCGTGCTGGAATATAAGTTATACAAGTTAATTACATTAAATTCTTCATACTTACAGAGTTATATTATTATTATGCCAAAGTGTGAGCACCTTGTCGAGCCCAGAGGCCATGATGAGGAAAGCTGCAGGGGTCTGATGCCCGCGAGGTGTAGCGGAGGACGGCAGGTTGTTGCACTGCAGAATGTCCTCGTACTCAGACTTTCCCTTGTGGAACTCGTAGTCCTCTCGTCTGATGGTGGACACCTCGAACACATCGCCCAGCGCCTCTCCAGCTGCATGAGGGAGGAGGAAGAACAGGTGTTTGTTGTGATGGAGGAAATAAAGCTCTCGGAAGCATCAAAGATATGAAGCAGTTGTGCTGGAAATCATTTATTGTATAAATACGTATTTAATACAATCCACATGGCTGCATCTGCTGCACAGTCCATGGCATTGCAAGTCATGACGAATATATAATACCTAAGAACAGCCTATTATGTCTTAACAGGGTTTGACCAAAAACCCATTCATTTTATAATGATATTTAACAAAGAAACGCATTGACTATTTGTATTTGGGAATAAGTAATACATAGTTGATGATCCTTTAAATCACTGTCATTTATACAAATACATCTTTATAAAATTTGCTTACAATCAACAAACAATGAATTGATTAGATTAATATTTAGTTTATTTGCTAAACTCAATTTGCTCAAGGCAAAGAGTGCATTTAATTACCTTTAGGCTTTGTAACGTTATCCGTATAGTTTGACAAAACAATCTGTGCTAGCTTTTTTCTGGAGCTTTCAGCTGCATTTCAAAGCCTTCATCAGCAGGTTGCCATATGTGTTTTATACCTGAGGTCACATTATTACCCGTTTGCTGATGATGGTCATGATAAGCAGCTCAAAGTCCTTGAAAAACCTAAAAACTGTTCCTCATGTCAAAAATGAACTTTCACAGTTAAATTCCTCCTAAAGTTCTCACCTTTCTGCCACTGAGCAGCATTTTTGTTGCGATGGGCTGGCCCGTTATCCATGATGATCTAAACAGAAACAAATGATTAATATCTCAATCTTTAACATCTTTTCATCCAGAGTTAGTAATCTCATCTCAGTTTGTGGCAGTATTTCAGCAGGACTCACAGAGTAATCGGGTCCCATGGCTCTGATGGCGTGACCGGTGAGAGTAGCGATGGTAAACAGCTGAGGACACTTCTCAGTAGCTGCCTGCAGACACACAATTCAGAGTGAGAAGAGCAAAAAAGGAGTTTAAGATTCACAAATACTGTATTAAAAGGGGTGCAGTGACCTTCTCCTTCATCTCACAGAGCAGGTCCACCATCACCATGCGTCCCTCAGCATCAGTGTTTCCCACTCGCACTCTGCGGCCCGCACGGGAGACCACCAGCTCATCGGCCACATAGCAGTCTGAGGAAACACACAGACACACAAAGACGATGTCACACAGATCCTACTCATAGAAATGCATACAGCAACATGCACAATGGGAAAAAAGTGGATAAAACTGACCTGAACCGACACTGTTCCGGACCATGGCCATGGAGCCGATGACCTTCAGATGTTTTGGCTTCAGCTTGGCTAAAATCTAGAGAGCAGGAGTGGGTTAGGAAAGAAGGATAGCTCCAAACTTACAGCAGAGGCATTACATTTCCAAGTTTCACCATCCATGTTTAATCTCCGTCTCTTAAAATTAATCTCTTTTCACCTCAGATGCTTTTTGTTCATCTTGACTGAGAGCATTGTGATCTTCGTCCCCCCATGTTGATTTTTAGTTCAAGTCGTGAGGTGCAGACCTCTCCGAAAATGTAATATTCAGCGGCAGAGAGGTGAGGGGGTGGGTTTGTTTACCTGGAAGAAGCCGGCCACAGCAGCAGCTCCACACTTGTCCCTGTGCATCCCGGCCATGAAGCCCCCGGCCTTGATGTCAGCTCCGCCTGTGTCGTAGGTGATGCCCTGGAAATAACCGCCAGTTATTTTTAAGCAGTCGGTCACACAGACAGAATACATGCTACATTTCTGACAATACTTAAACAAACCCAATGTTCCTTCAATACATTTCTCCCTGAGTAGCTTGAAAGAAGTGCTGCAACTAAAGCTTGTTATGTTTGCTGAATTTATCATTCATAATTGTTTAGTAGATGAAATTAGTTAAATAAAGCCTTGATGATGACATGAAGACAACTTACCATCATATCAAATGTATCATTAAATGTACAATGTTTTAAGGGACACTTTTTTTGTATGTTAAAGCGGTTCACATGCAGCAGTCTCCTCTCACCTTTCCCACCAACATGAGCGTTGTCTGGATCGGCCCCTCTCCGCAGTACTGCAGCTTGATCACTCTGCCCTGGTGACGAGGGACACCTGTAGGAGGAGAAGCCATGAATAGGTGTGGGAACAGCTAAAATCATTTCAATAAGTGATCAAAACAGATTAAGTTCTCGTACTGTCGGCACAGCGGTTGACTGCAGCCAGACAGGGGTACTCCTTCTCCAGCACCTTCACGCTGCTCACCACTTCCACCTGGAGATTACAAAAACATTGTTTACAAAAACTTGCTTTAAATTAAAGAAGAACCAAACTCCCACAAAATTGTCCTGGTCTGCGATTTAAAATTGTTTCTACACATTTTTCCTGATTTTCTGTGTCCAGAGCGTGTTCTGCTCACATGACAACAGCGTTCATGCGACAGAACTGTTAATACCTTGCTGAATAAAATGTTTACATGAAAGAGGCATGAATGTTATGTGTACTTGAGTAAAGAAAGCGTTTGACAGGCTTGTGACAGTGTTAAGATAAAGTCAACAGTGATAAAAACCTCTTGATAAAAAACAAGAGGATCAGGACATAATGTTTCCTGCTACCTTCACAGGGCTGTCCTTGAAGAGTTCCTGGACGTATTCAGCGGCGCGAGGAGCGGCCATGCGTTCAGGGTCAGAGCCACCGATGTCCCGACAGGCCAGTCTGAGGGGGGACAGAGAGCTGCTGGTGAACCAGGGAACATCACAACACACTTTAACAGGGACTGAAGCGTGTGACCCACCTGCCGCTCTCCAGGGCGTCAGCCAGCTCCACCAGCCTTTTCCCATGAGCCTCCTGGGCTGCCCACAGACCCAGGACACACACCTTGTGGTCGCTCGCTTTCACATTCCACTCCCTCACTTCCAGGGGCTGTGGGGGGGGGGGAAGATGAGAACAATATTTTAGTATTTTTACCATGCATATATTTGCCTTTCCAGATCTAGTATTTAGGTGGATTTGGTGGGATTTAAATCTGCATCATAATGATAAGTAAAAGATGAGGTGTTTAGCATTGCAGTCGAAAAAATTAATATTTGTTTTTTTTTATTAAAATGAAATGTGTAATACACTACACCAAATAGATTTGGTGTATTACAGATTATTTTGTTACAGCACCAGTGTGCTCAACACTAAAATACAAATACTTAAAAAGTGGAAAAGAGTATGTATATTTCAGTTGTAGTAGTTGAAGACAAAGCAATCTTAAATTAACTTAACGACTACTTTAAAATCACTACACTTGTAGTCGAATCATAGAAACGGAGCCTCTCTGTCAGCTCTGTACGAGCAGGAGTTATTTTCTCACCATGTAGAGAGCCTGAAGCGCTCCGAGTGCAGCCACCATACTGCTGTTCTTGTAGTCCTTGTGGGGGGGGCAGACTAGCAGGGGGCGCTGCATGCCGGCCTTCAAGGCCCTGAGAGGACACACAGGTGAGTGAGACAAGTAAAGAAACCTGGATGTGAATCTGGAATATGACACACTAACAGGGGGAAATAATCTTCCATCAACTGACCTCTTGATGCCGTTGCAGGCTGCATCACTGAAGCGCCGCACGTCGTCATAGTCACGGTTCAAAGGGCCGGTGGAGGCAAAGACCAGGCGGTTACCAGGGAGACCAGGCACCTTCAGGATGACCACCTCCTGCCCCAAACTACTGTCCACCTAGAGGAGGAGCAGATGAGGAAAGTGTCACACACTACACCTGAAGCAGCAACACTTAAGAACGCATTAACCCACATCTTGTTAGACTTTACAATCAAAACAATGCAAGACAGAATAAAGCTTCACCCAGGGCTGGACTGGCCATCTGGCATACCGGGCATTTTCCCGGTGGGCCGACGTGCCTTGTGGGCCGACACGTCATTTTATTTATTTATTTATATTTATTATTATTTATTTATATTTATTTTTATGAAGTCCCGGCCCATAAGACGGGTAGATTGGCCCTCTGTTTAAATGTTTTTAGTAATTGACACTGGGCCGGCCCAATCAAATCTTTAATCACCTCCCCCTTTGGACCGCTCGGTGTGCATAATTAAATCACGCCCCCAGGAGGTGAGCCGGCCGTTGAAGCCAAACTGCCTTTTTTTTCGAGAAAAAAAAAAGTTCGAGTTAGAAATGGAGAAGGCGAAGGCGAAGGCCAAGCGAAAAGGGGGAGCAGAAAAATTGCGGGCAAGAAAAAAGCAGGCCCTTCGTGCTGATGCTGCCGCTTGTGTCAAAATAACCGACATGTTTAGTACAGGTCCATCTTCAGCACCCGTGGCCGATATTGGTGGTGAGGAAGATGATGAGAGGGAGAGAGATCAGCGCGAGTGGGGAGAGGGAGGAGAACTCGCAGTAAGCAGAAGCTAAGAAAATTAGGAAAATATTATTATTAAGGTTATGATACTCTGTAGTTCTGGAACCCATTAATATCCCCTTGACGAAGCACTAATAAGACAAATATTATAAGAGAAACATTCGTTAGCCTACAAGCTAGTAAGGTTTTCCCTGGCAAGTTAAAAATATAGCTTAATGGGACTCTGATACGTTGTCTCATTGAAAGAATGTCATTATTTTGTTAACCACCATTCATGAACAATTACTGTCAGCTGGCAGCTTGTTTTGTTTAGTTTATTTACTTATTTGGTTATAAGGGCAACAGTGGTCTTTTGGGACCTGAAAAAATGTTTATAGTCAGCTTTTTGTGGTAGTTTTGATTGACAATATATAGAATGAATAATATAGAAATAGATAAAAAATGGAGGCACACATGTAGTTTTGACCATTAACTGTGTGGTATTGTTATGTCAATGCCTATTTGTATCGACCTCTATCAGGGAATCCATTCATTCTGTATCATTGTGTTGAGCCAGGTAGCCTCCCCAGAGGAGGAGAGTGTCAGCGAGAGTGAGGAGAGCAAAGAGCAGGAGGACATAGATTACTTTGCCCGCCCCGAGCCATCTATGTTACAGATGTTTTTAGAACAGCACCCACAACAACATACCAGAAATCCAGTTGTGCAGAAGGTATTCACCTGTAAAGATGGCACCAGCAGAAAGTGGCTTATATATTGCAAGGGACGTCATATGTTGTTTTGTTTTGTATGTCTGGCATTTGGGAAGAAGACTGACACTAGCACATTTATAACTGGAATGTCAGATTGGAGGCACGCACACCAGCGTACAGAGGAGCACGAAAAGAGCATTACACATTCAACCTGTGCTGACGCTTTTTTCTTACGGTGCTCTAAAGCAGACATCGAAAGCATGTTTGCTGGCAGTCAGATGTCTGCTCACAGGGAACAAGTCCGAAAGAGACGTCAGGTTTTGGAGCGTGTGGTGGATGTGGTGAAAGTGCAGGCAGGTGGAGAATGAGGGAGCATATATGCTAGCTGACAACACCGTGGACCACGGTAACTTTTTGGAGCTCATCCTTTTATTAGGAAAGTATGATGTCTGCTTAAAAGAGCATCTGGATGATTGCGTAGAGAAGAGCAAGAAATTGCACCAATCCAGTGGAACAAAAGGTAGAGGGTCTCTCATCACCCTACTCTCCAAAACTACTGTTAACTCCATAATAGAAACTGTTGGTAGTCTAATCAAAGAAAGTATGTCCAGTGATGTCCAGAAGGCCGGAATGTTTTCTGTTCAGCTGGACACAACACAAGACATAACTTCTCAGGATCAGTGTTCAGTAATCTTAAGATATGTCAATGAGACTGTGCAAGAGAGGCTTGTGGCTTTAGTGAAGTGCCATGCATCCACTGGACAATACTTTGTGAACTTGCTCTCAGAGGTCTTAGAGCATCTGAAACTGGACAAGGGCATGTGTATAGGTAATGCAACAGATGGAGCATCCAATATGCAAGGCCGGTACAAAGGATTTTCTGCACTGATGACCTCCCAGTCACCCACTCATGTCCATGTGTGGTGCTATGCTCATGTTCTTAATCTTGTCCTGGCTGAAACTACCCAAACTGTAATCGAATGTGGAACACTTTTCAACCTAATCAATGACATAGCAGTGTTTATCAGGGAGTCATATCAGAGGGTCAATCTGTGGGAGAAACAAGCCCAAGAAAAGATGCCATCGACTCATCCTGTAGACTCATCTGGTCCTATCTCTATTGTGTTGTCATAGAAAGGGGAGGCAGGGCACTATAGGGTCCCCCCCCCCTATATTCACTAGAAGTCATCATTTAAGGGGTTATTTTTAAAACTTTTCTTCTGGGGGGGGGGGGGGGCATACCCCCCCAGACCCCCCTATTAGTGCTCGGTCACTGTTCGCTTTGTGAGAGGGTTTGAAGGTCTAATTTCTAATGATTGAGAGTTACACATACTTGTGGTATGTATTAGTTTTGTTTGCCCCTGGTACGTAAAAAGGATAATAATGGCAGTTTTTTAAATTATACTGAGTTATTCTTCTTGTCAGGAACCGCTACTATTCGTTTGTTTTATGGATTTGGGCCGGTCTGGGTCTAAATGCCAGGGCCGATTTGCTGTCCCAGTCCAGCCCTGGCTTCACCATCTTATTCTTATAATCAATTTGTTCACAGTATCAGTAAAAGATGACCCTTTGAAATGAATGAAGCAGTCTTCATTGTTTATAAGATGGTTAAAATATTACATTTTATTAAGATTTGTTAATATCATGAAGACATGTTGCTAATTTAAAGTCCCAAAATCGTCCGACATAAGAATGTTTTCCAGTCCTACATAAGAATGTATTGTCATGTCAATTGATTCCAGGTGTGATAGCTCCAAAGGAGGCTCAGGTGAGATAATACATGGACTTACAGAGCTGTAGTCCTGCAGCGGTGCCTTCAGGAACTCGAGCTCGGATGGCAGCGTGTCATGGCTCTGGGTCACCAATACGATGCCATCAAAACTAAGAACAAAGAAAACAACATCATCTAACAAACCTGTAAGAATGAATTAAAAACAACCTACCAACTCCATGGCATTAGGAGGAAGTGCAGCATCTTATTACTCACTTCTGGTTTTTGAGGTCGGAGGTCCATTCAACGGGCTGGGCGCTGCACAGAGAAACATGCAAAGAAAAGTTATTTCCTCTTCTTGTAGGAGCACTGTCAGCAAAAGTTGAGATAGCTCAGACAGAGTGATGCAATAAGTGTCTCAAATCAGTTTCTATAATGCAGGTTAAGGATAACGGAGAGGGTCAAAGTGTGGAAACCTGTAGACCTTTGAGATCCGCTTCAGCTTTTAAAAGAGTGGGACAGGCAGTGGAGGAATGTGACTAATTACATTTACTTAAGTAGAATTTGTTGTTACTTTTGTTTTTAATGCTACTTTATTATTCTACTCCACCAGTTTTTACTCCACTACATTTATCTATCTTTTTCTAGAGCTGGAATTGCAGGGTATTTTTGCAGATTCAGATTTAATATAAATTGGTATGGTTATTATAAGTAACCCAGCTAAATCTAGAGTAATCAACCTTTCTCCTTCTTTAACAGCTGCAACATGTAAAGGGATTAACACATTAATGCATCAGTAAATGTAATCCTCTAATAAAATATATTTGCTATTCATATATTTTCTGCCAACTCTTAGTAAACATTTGAATGAATGATAACAATGTATTTCTAAACTGTGGTATAAGTTAAAGGATCTGCGTGTACTTTGTCCAACACTGGGGACAGGATCATTTGTTCTTCCCCGATCAAAACGGTGTACTTAGCACGCACATCATAAGGGGCATTGTCCACAGTTTGTGTATGATAATGATGTGAACACGTTAATAAGTCCGTTTTTTTAAAACATGGCCAGAGATGGTTGGTATCATGTGACAATTGCACAAAGGAAGTAAGTTCAAGCTAAAAGTGAACATCAGCAGAAAATGACAAAAAGCCTGTGTGGGCCCGTCTAGTGTAAACTGAACCCAGAAATAAGCAGATGTACTGCAACATGAGAGGATCAGATTATATACGTTGATCTGTGACAGCAGTGTGAGAAAAAGTTTTTAGAGAGTACTTGTCCATGGACAAGTGAGTTTGGCAATTTACTTGTCCGAATACATTTTTCACTTGTCCAGAATGGACAAACATTGGGGCCACTGGAATCTTCTTCTTTGTCATCGTATTTTACATTTTCCCACGGTTTTTACGACACCGCTAACGTAAGTGAGCCGTAAGATTGTACTGCATCACACATGGGGTTGGGTATCGTTTGGATTTTAACGATTCCGGTTCTGCTTTTCGATTCCGGTTATTTTCGGTTCTCTGATTCCGGTTCTTTGAGAGGGTAAAAATAAGTCAAACTGGGAGAAAAATATATTTATGAAAACATTAAGTAAAATCTGTATTCCTATTTACAAATCACTTCATACTGTTTAATTTCTTACGGTTATTGAATACAATTATATAAAAATAATCTCTGCATTGTTTAGTTAGTTCCAGTGGCAGTTCTAGAACATTTTAAATGGGGGGGCAAAGGGGAGGCAAGAGGTCATGCCAGGATGGCATAGGAGGGCGGACAGTACGTGGTATGTTATACTCTATATAACCTATTTATTGTTAATTCATGCCCTAACACAAGTGTTCTTAATGCACAAGAGAAACAAGGTGTTCAGACAAACAATCGGGTGCCCTTTGAGTCCCCCAAGCTTACCTCAACCATTTTAAATGAAAGGAAATTACAAAATGTATTTTAAAGCAATGAATTAATGGAACAGGTTGTTTTGCATTACAATGTAAAATTAAATATATATTTTGTTTTAAAAAAAATTGGTTGTCTTAGACAAGCACTAAGCATTATTACATATTAATTTAATATTAAACAAATCAAAATGGCCAATTATCCCAAAATGTTGCTGCTAATATAATCACATGCTTGTCAACTTTAACTGATCAAAAATCAATTCTGAAAAAATACTTGAATTATCTATGAAATTGCAATATTGTCCCTCAGTTTGTTTCAACCCCGTCACGCCATACCATTTACCCTCCTATTAAAATAATGGATCAGTCCGTGATCTGCATTGAGGGAATTACATCACAAAAGTGTCAGTTTCTTCTCTTACCTATATTTCAGATTAAGATTGACAAGCTCAACATTTCAACTATGTTGTATGAATTAATAATAGTAAATAATTGTTTATTACAAAAATAAACAATAGTTTTGCAAAATATTACAATTTTGTAATGTCCTTGACTTCCATGTGGTGCCATATCTTAGCTAAACAAGGTCTCATGCCTACTTTTTGTCAAAAACTTCAACCCTGTTACATTTTTTCAAGGAAATTCCTAGTAATTATTTATATGTTGTGCCAGAGGTGGGAAAATGTAAGTAGTCCACTACCAGATGTTATGACCAAACATTTTGGTTTCATTTTTCAAAGATATAAAGACCCAAAAGGCACCCGATTCAGAGAATACCCAGAATTCTGCATACTGTAAGTACTTAATTATAATTAAGTACACAAATGACATCACCCATCTCTTCAGAGAGCTACAGGTGACCTGTGCAGCAACACATTTCAATCAATATTAGTCAATACTAAGAGCTGCTAGATTGTGCTGCTTTAATGGAATATGTAAGGAGAATAAGAACATACCATGTGGTCCAGCTGGAGTTTCATCTGCCTCCTGATCCCTGCCTCTGGCCCTCTTTCTGATACTTCATCTTTATTCCTCACATATATTTCTTCTTCTTCACTAATGTCTTCATCTCCTCCTCTTCCTCCTGCTCTGACCCTCCTGGTCTCTTAATCTCCTCCTCTTCCTCCTGCTCTGACCCTCCTGGTCTCTTCATCTCCTCCTCTTCCTCCCGCTCTGACCCTCCTGGTCTCTTCGTCTCTCTTTTCCTTTTCCTTTTTCTGTTCGTCCTGATCACTTCTCAGATATGTCTTTTTGTTGTTGTTGAATCACTCCAATACTCTGGCCTGCAAGAGTCTACTTGTGAAAAGCACTGGTACAAATGCTTGTATAACTTTACACGTTAGGGCCATGTAGCCTAGCTAATATGTAGCATATCATAAATATAACATCAGAAAGTATTGATCAAGCGCACACATGCAGCTGTGTTTGGATCCAGTTTTTACGGTAAAGGATGAATCCTGGTTTCATTGATCTGGCCTCATGGCTGTGATGTGTAGTTTACGTGGATTTAATAGTAGGCTACCGCGTAGTTTAGCAAAGTGATCGATCTCCCAGCTAACGCTGTCTGCGTAGTATTTTGTAACGTAACGCCCCAAACAGCGCCCGTCTGTTAAACGCTATCGATTCAAACGGCAGCGTTTTATTAATATTTAGTTTCAAGCTCTCGTCCTTAGTAAAAACAAAACTAGTGGAAAGGGAAATGCTCCCAGGGGAAGCTGATCCATAGGTGCTGGGACAGCTCGCTCCCTCCCTCTCTGCAGCGGTGTGAGCCGCGGTCTGTGTGAACGCCGCTCCGCAGTTTAATGCAGGGCCGTAGCTGTGTTTTTAACGGGCCTAAAATGATATTTAAAATGATTCAATTTTAACTAATGTAATGCTTGTTTTGTTGCTTGAGAAGCTTGTGGAAATAGTGTAGGTTTGTTTTAGTACAGTTTTAGGGGAAAAAAAGTTAGGGGGGCAGCTGGGGGGGCAAGGCTCTACAGTGGGGGGGCAGCTGCGTCAATCGTTATGTACTTATATTACGCTGTAACAGGATCTAGTGATATCCAAGCAACAGAGCTTCATTTAGCATGAAATAATTATTGCACTGTATATATATATATATATATACACTTATAATAATAAGTAATATTAACTTTATTTAATACAACATTTACGGTACAAGATTTAATCATACAGCCCATGTAGTATGATAATGAATTATAGCAAACATGTGCAATATATCCATTATTACAGCTCTGTGAGACGATATGGGTCCGTTCTTATTGTGCATCCATGGGTAAAGATAAATGCAACTCACATTGGTTTCTCAAACAGCATCTCTGTAAACTACGTGTATTCACTGAATTTCACTCTCTGCCTTTAACGGCTCCTTGTAGCTCCAATAGCTCCAGCCCCCACCCTCCCTGTGAGCACAGTGTGCTCTGATTGGTCGGGACACGTAACATGAACGTGCCGGGCGGCGCGGTCCCGTGGGTTAGATGCGCGTTCATAATGCAGAGGGAAATAACTCTCAGAATAACGTTATTAGTACATTATTACAACTTGAGGAACGAATGTTTTTAATAAGGGCTATACAAGTGTTCATACTGGGTAGTTTATTTAGTTTAAAAAAAATTATCCAACGATTTACAGACCACTAAATCGTCTCCGGCGTCAGAAGTTGAACATTGTTCAACTTCTGACGCCGGAGACGGACCGCTATGCTACTTTCAGTTCGGCGAAAAAGCGAGGCAACGTGACGTCACCCCATTCAAAGTGAATGGGCAGATTGAAGCTGTAGTGTGGACGGGCCGTTAGGAATCGACAAGCAGAACCGAAACTAACACTTCTAAACGAACAATGGCGGACACGTACAATTTGCGAATGAGTTCTGCCTTTTGTAAACTGAATGTATCAATAATTTGTCAATAAATCAGGCCGAAAAACTCCACTTGTCCGCCGGACAAGTCAATTGAAAGATCTACTTGTCCGATATTGTAAATAACACGTCCCGGACGGTGGGACGTGTACTTTTTCGCACACTGACTGTGAGTGAATCCACAAATGAAGCACCACAGCACAGATACATGAATTCACCAACCTTAAATGTAATGATTAAATAAATCCAGTTGAATAAATGACGACATAAAACATAACTACTAAACAATACCCACTCAGGGTTTTCACCGAGTTTTCATGCACAAAGCTGCACGTTAGAAAACATCTAAAGCCTATCAAGCATCAGGCAGGTAAAGTTAAAATAAAATCTGATGTAATCTCACCTGGTGCACATTTTAATTCTCCCTCTCTGGAGTCTTCAGGGTGAAAGAGACAGCTGATAGCCGGCGACAACGGCTCCTTCCCTTCTGTCTTTCCGGTTGGTCACATGATCCGATAAAAACTGCACCCTGCTGCCTTCGCGGGCTTTCCGGAGCTCGTAATCCCAACGATCTAATTCGTAACATGCTACCTTTCGTGTGTTTAAATAGTCAGTAGTTTCTTAAGGACCCAGATGAAGTACCTCAAGTGTATTCTAGGAAAGATACGCGAATTCAATGTTGTTTGTTCGTCCACAAAACTGAAAATATTTATTGTAATTGCGGTGGTTGTGTGAACATCAGAAAGTTCCCATTGCGCCTGAAGACGCAATAAAGGATAGAGTAGGGAATTGTAGTTTCCAGACAACAAAAGCGACATTCAGAAGATTTTAAAAACAACACATAATTTATTTATTTACAGCATATTAAAAATATGACTGCTACACTCTGCCGTTAGCTTCCGTTGAGTATCCATATCGCGTCCTTACAGGACTGACCTCATGAAAGCAATAACCGGAAGTAGTTTTAAAAAGTGTTTTCTGTGCAGAACCGGGGAGGCAAGACAGTACAAAGGGCAAGTACGAAGCACCACCTGACCTGGTTATTCAGTGGCAGATAACAGTGTCACATTCCTCCTTAAATTACATTTGATCTCAGGTTTAACAATCATATTGCCAAGCTTCTGTTCGAGCTGCAGGTAGGCAGAAGTTACTCTTGCTGTAGCTGTTCATGCTTTATGGTCCTCGTTATGATTAACAGCTTTATTATTAATTGATAGCTGGCTCTGATAAGTGTGCATTGTTGCAGATATGCTGACAGGATTTGTACTTGACCTAATTTGTCAGCCTCAAACCGAAAATCTAGTTTGTGTAGCTAGTATAGCTCAGGACACTATGAGTTTCTTACAATTTAAAACTTTTCTTTTGTAAAGTTTATTTCAGAGAAGGTTTTAAAAAAATCTTTTTGAGCCTGGAAATGTGGTACGTTCGTTTTAATTTTCTAGGGAACATACAAAAGTTGTGTGTCCAACCTTTCGTTTTTGCATTATATTCAGCTTTTCAGCCGCTTTTGTCTAAAGTAACCCCAATGTGTTTCATAAGGACATGGAGGTTGTGTAAGTCCATAGTAGTAAATGGGTAAACTACTAACACATACAGCTAAGAGGATAAGTAAATACACCCATGGGTAGACTGAACTGTAGTCTGGGCCAGCATTTAATGACCGCACAATTATTATCCAAATTCAAAACATTTGAGCTGAATAATTGGAATCCATTTTTCTTCTAACGAACAATCTCAATTTTGTTTTGATATGCAACTCAGCTATGCCGAAACATGAAGCTAAGTTTGTCTAATTCCATCATACACATTTGCACACAAATGTACTGTCAGTTTTGAACAACAAATCCACCAAACTTAAACATAAACTACATTGTTTGTGTTATCAAAGAAAAAGGCCAAAGCGTAGAAATCAGTTCGCATAGCTCTATGTGACAAACACCCAGCATCAACTTTACAATTTCTGAAAACTTATTGGTGTCCACTATTTTATGGCACTTGACATGTTGTGAATTGACATTAAAGGGCAATACATAATGTATGTGAGCCTATAAGACCCCTTCAGAGAAATTAATCTAATTTGCTGTATTTTCTTTACTCTGACATTTTCCTCCTCCTCTCCTAATCACTTCTCCCTCCTGTATCGTCCACAGATGAGACTTCCTCTTCGCTCTTTTAGCATCTTCAGGAGTTTATTCTCTCACAGGAAACAAACATCACACCCTCAGAGGCGAGGCTTGAGCGGCGTAGGGATGCGTCTAGTGCAGTTTCATCGCCATGGTGAGGAGGGAAGCATCAGAGTGGGGGTGGAGCAGGGGGACGGGGGGCTCGGCGTGGTGGACCTGAAGGCCTTTGACCCCTCCATGCCCTCCACCATGAGAGAGCTGCTGGGGCTGGGAGACGAGGGTCTGCAGTGTGCACAGAGGTATCAGACATCCAGTCTCAACAAATATCTTTCCTGTTTCCATATACATTTGCTCATAAATTGCCGTCTTCTTCTTCATGATTGAACATCAGTCATAATTATCTTCCCTAATTATCACATCCCTCTTCCTCCTAAACATCTTCTCAATAAATCTTCCAGGTTACCTTAATCTTCTTAAATGTGCATGTTTTTTCCTGAATAGATCTCTCAAATCAACATCCTTCTTGCTTAATCATTTCCATCTTTTATCTTCTCTCTTTAATTGTCAGCTTTTTGTATGTTGAACATATCCTTGTTAAATCCCCTTCATAAATTACACTCATTGTAAAACACAGATGGTAAATCACCATCTTGCTCAATCAACTAAATTGTCCTCTTCTCAAATCACCATCTTGTTCCTTCCTTAATTAACAATTCATCTTCTTGATAAATCATCTCTCTCCTAAATCATTAAAACCATCATCTTGTGGAGAAAAAACATCGTGTTCCTAAATGGATTTGTTGAATTAGCGTCTGTTTCCTACAACTTAATCTGCCTCAACATCGTTGTCATACTCTGCCATAAACGTTCACATCATCGTGTTCTCACTTCTCCTCCCACCTTCTTCCTCCTCCTCTTCCTCAGAGCCTTGTCCTCAGGTCAGTGTGTGTTGCAGCGGTCAGACATCCGGCTGTTGTCTCCTGTGTTGGCCCCGGAGAAGGTGGTGTGTGTGGGCATGAACTACCGGGACCACTGCCTGGAGCAGGACGCCCCCATCCCCAAAGAACCAATCATCTTCAGCAAATTTCCCAGCGCCATCACCGGGCCGTACGACGACATCATCCTGCCCCCGGAGAGCCAGGTGGGAAACTTTAGTTGTATGTCACTTCTGAACAAAAAAAAAGGTTATTTATGTGGTTTACAACAAGAAAAAAGAACGGGAAGAGATTAAAGAGACACCGGGGACTACAATTAAGATAAGATAGACAAAGTCAGACAAATTCCTTTGACGTTGCCTTCTAAAGATGTGTAATGATTCGCTTTTTAGGAAGGATATTTCAGGGACATTTAGTTTTCAGCCTTCTGCTCCTCGCTGTGGTCAGAGGGCTCAAAGACTCTTTTAAAATCAATACAAAAAGAGCAGAGAAGCTGAACCGGTGTTATGTGTGATCTGTGTTTCTGCAAAGCTGCAGTTGAGCTAGAGAAGATTTGTTGAGGCAGTTGGACAAGGCGTTGCAATAATCAAAGCGTTATGTATAGAGGCATGAATGAATTGGATTCCAAATATTTATGTTGAGTTGTGTTTCTTAATCTAAAAACGTTTCTTTATGTAATTAAAGTAGGACTGAACCAGAGATTTTGCACTTGGCTCAACATTCAGTTGGAAAAAGTCAAAAGTAATTACAATTCTTGACATTTTAACAAGCAGATGAATTCAATTTGAGTAATTGTGCAGTGTGAAGAGAAGCATAAGTAATCAAAACTATCCACAGGAGATGGATGACTTATTTTGCCCGTCTTGAACAATTTAGCTTATTTCTTGTCTTAGAAGCATAGACTTTATGAAGCTTATGGGTCAACACTAACCTCTCTTCTTTTGTAGGATATTATAGATCGAGATGAATACATGTATGAATGTCTGTTCATGTAGTTTTTGAAAAGTTCATACCAATTTAAATGTATAGTTGGTACATGCTTTTTTGGGGTAGCACTTTTGAAGGTCATGGAGACCAAATCAACGTCTTGTTTATATTGACAGAAAATGATATGTGGTTATGAATGTCTTTTAAAAATCAAATTATTCAGGATATTACATTTGAACTTATTAGAGCTGTCTAAGCAACATATGGAGGCAATTTTAATATCCATATCATTTTCAAATGCACAAATATACTTTACTTATACTTTTAACTTGACTAAAACTATATTTGATGGATGTTTGGGACTGCAGGAGGTGGACTGGGAGGTGGAGCTGGCCTTTGTGATTGGACGAAGAGGAAAACACATCAAGGTAAAAGTCTCATCATCATCTTATGATTGGTGGTGAAGCATCTGTTGACGCCTCTTGCTTCTCGCTCAGGAGGAAGACGCTCTCTCTTACGTGGCCGGCTTCACGGTGGCCAACGACGTCAGCGCACGAGACTGGCAGATGAAGCGCAACGGGAAGCAGTGGCTGCTAGGAAAAACGTTTGACAGCTTCTGTCCTCTTGGCCCGGCATTGGTGACCACTGACGCTGTGAAAGGTGAGAGTGAAAGAGAACGTCAGCTGAGAGGGAGGCAGATGGGGGAATTATGATAATAGTTCATAAAAGTCAGAATGGATTTATTTGGTTTGAAAACATTCCTGATTAATGTGTGTTATCTTTATAGCATCTTTATGTGGTGATATCAATCTAGAGTACATCAAATGTCAGATTAAGTCCAGGATATGAATATTCAGGCTCAGCATGATGGCTTAAGCCTTACACCATAACTGTCCCTGTAATACAAAATATCATTATAATATTTCACATTGTTTTAGAAAAATCGTTTTTTCTTCGCTCTGTGTATAGAACTGTATCCGCAAATTAAAGAGATAAAGAAAGACAAACCAATCAGTTTGATTCTATAGGATTACTCGCAGCTATTGCTACTAATACCAGAGTTGACCCCGCTTAGTTTGTTAAAATTATAATGGCTACTATTAGGTTTAATTTGAATATTTGCATTTTGACACCCTTTTCACAACACACTAGTCAAAGAATGAAAGACAGCCAATGGGTAATATTAGTGTAATAAATTATCTTTATTTAGCATAAAAATGTAATGACCTACTCAGTCTTTTCTCTAAAATCGACACGGTAGCATTGGTGAGTGTTTTCGGTGAAAATATATAATTCCGTCATCCGTGTCAGCTTTAGTTTGTAAAATATAAAAGATATTCAGGAGCTTTTATTAATACCTATTCAAGTCCTAGTTTTTATGCAACAAAATGTGCCTTTTTTAATTTAATATAACTGGGTTTCCTTCAGTTGAGTTCTAAGTGTCAAACAGGAAAATAACATATATATTAAGATGCTGTTTTTTTGTGTCCCTTGCAGACCCCCACAGTCTGGGGGTGCGCTGCCTGGTGAACGGAGACACGGTGCAGAGCAGCAACACGGATCAGATGATCTTCAGGACGGAGGCGCTGGTCGCCTGGGTCTCAAAGTGAGTCCTCTGTTAATTCTGCTGATCATGTGATGTCGTCTTTTTGCATGTTTTATCTCAAAGGTCCCTATCATGCAAAATGCCCTTTGTGATGTCTTTTATACATAAGTATGTGTCCCCGTGTGTCAGGGAACTCACAAAGTGTCAGAAAATACAACCCTCTCTCTTTTCCTCCGTACCCAAATCTCTAAAAACGGGGGTTCAACGAAGCTGATCCAGATTTGCGTCCGATATGACGTAATATCGGAAATGTGTGCTGGCTTTACACCAACGGCCCTATCAGAAACAATCTTTGTTTACATTAGCAAGCATCGCTAACACTGTACTGAAGAGCAGGTGTAAAAAAAGCAGGAAATAAAAAAAGGAACTCACCTTGTGGTAAACCCGCAAGAGAAAAAGCATTTGAGCTCCATACTGGTTCAGAAATAATCCTTGATGCAGTTTGGAACATAATATGGCGTCTAATCACGGCAGCATTTAGCTGAGTATCTGGATAGAATTCTCCTGCATAAGCTTTTTATTTTTTTTCCAAAGCTACGGACCCGGAATCAGCACTTCTCTAACAGGGCTGAAATAGAGGAGTATGAGGCATCGCTAGAACGGGTGATCTGTTTGGTATTTTGAGCAAAACACTTTAAGGACATGTTTTTTATATACTGTATCTGAGAACTATAGTATATGCCTACAAATAGTATAAAGGAGGAGACCTTTAATACAGATGAGACATCATTTATTCAGGCCTTTACTAGCTGAATGCAAAGTTTCTCTTTGAGAAATTATGCAAATCAGATCATGTTTGAAATTAATTTAGTAAGAAGGAGCACTGTGTGAGCAAAGTGCCTTTCCTCTTTATGGACTTGAGGCAGAAAATTAAAACATACTTCAACAAAGACTCACGCACCCTTTTAGCCCTGCAGCACCCTGAATACCTGCGCTCAGATGCTTGGCCTCTCCCTCCTCGCCTCACTTACTGGTGACAGGGCCTGTTGTTCTGTAATAATGGCCGCCCACAGCACCAATCACTGGATCTCTGTATTCAAAAGGCTACACTGGGAAGTTATTGCTTTGCATGCCATTAGCAGATTTAAATGTGTGTACCTACTCCACATGGCAAACTCTCCACAGTAAACAGCAAGTCATCCCCACTCCTGCTCCTGAATCTGAAACTCCACTTCCTTTCTTCTTCTCCTCTCAGATTTGTGACCTTGACTCCAGGTGATGTTTTCCTGACCGGCACTCCTCCAGGCGTGGGTGTGTTCAGAAAGCCACCCATCTTTCTCAAGGTGATTTACTGTGGGACACTGAGATTAAAAATAAATGTTCTACAAGAAGGCACATATTTGTATCCTTAGCTGTGTTACTCACTTTAACCAAATAACTTGTGTTTATTCTATGATACAGAGTTAAAGCACTCTGTATAGTCATACAGTATATACATGGTGTTCAACAGTTTTTTCCTTACAGAAAGGAGACGTGGTGGAGTGCCAGATAGACCAATTGGGCTCGGTTATCAACAAAGTCGTCTGAATCCGGAGACAATCTGCTGCTAAATAAATAAACTGCTCTTCTGAAGCACTGAACACAATTAATTACTATTCGATCGTTTTTGTATTGATATTTTCTTCCTTCTGAAAGAATGTGAGTAAATCAGCTGTACATGCGTTTAAAATGTACATTTTCTGATCAATGTTAATGGTATTTTGCTGTGAGGTAAAGAGCACAGCATTTGTACTACATGTAAAGTTACATAACTCAATGCGCAGTGACCCGTTATCGAGTCACTAGCTGTAAAAATACCCTTCGATCTGCAGTCACCCAGCAGAAACTGAAGCTCATGACGTTTAAAAATATGTACATTTCAATATTCTTTTTGAACTGTATGTAAAACTTTTCAAACAGCCACCTTCTGATAAAAAGTGAGCATATTTTCCTGAAAGGGAATTTAATCAAATAAACATTTTGTCTTCAAATGCATCCTTTTTCTTTGGAGAACATTCTTCAAAATGACTTTGATATGTGTGTTGATTGGTGTCTCGTTTGATTAATTTCCTTTTTACTTAATTAACTGAAGTTTATTTTCTTTCACTTCAGAAACAACTTTAGAGAAATCCCTGAAGGGACATTAAAATGTAGCAGTAGTAAGATAAGGCTACAGTTTTGACTGACTCAAAAGTGTGAAACTAATAAATTCAATAATTAGGCAGATTTTGTCCATAGCAGCAGCGTACACATATCTGTACACACACAGGGAGGAACTTGGTTTTGCTCAAAGACACTTGGACAAGCAAACCAGAGAAGCTGGGGATCAAACTCACCCAAAGTACACATTTCTTTGAATGTGAAGACCGGGTGATTGCCGTTTATTTTCAAACTATTGGTAAGAAAGATATATTCTTAAAATAACCACATTGCATTATAAAGAATAACGAAATAGTCCTGCTATATATATCCTAGCTTCATTAAGGTTTTAAAGTTTAGTTTTGGATGATGCAGTTTGTGGTTCTGTTGAACTGTAATGGGTGATAATGAATCAAGAGTTTTGACTATTTACTCTACATGTATAATATATTGACTAAACATACCGACAGAAACATGGTGAAAAAAACCCAGTTCAAAAGCACCAGATTGATCATGACTAATCAACATCTCTCGGATACAATGTGAACATTATGACCTTCATTGAGGTAAGAATTAATGTAGGGGTGAAGTAGAGTGGATAAAAGTGTCATCTTAAACCGTGTACCAATACAACATAGTAATTGTGTATATTATGTTGTATATTATTTTCTCTACTTTAGCTTTTAATATACGATCAAATCAATATAATTAATAGTTTTATACTAACAGGAAATTATATTGAGGTTTTGTTCAAAGAGCAGCTCCTCCTTTCCTGTATGCAGTGCATTGTGGGACAACAGCATCATTTTATAATTCATATACTGACTGTTTTGAGTTTGCCTGATTTTGTGAACACACTCAACAACACCCGTCTGTATTTCGTATTGAGGCTCCAGCTGCAGTGAGGCATGTGTGAAGGTTCATCACTGGGTGGCAGTAGAGCTTCACGGTGGATGAGAGCCAATCAGCTGCAGCTGTGGTTTGTGATCCGAGGTAAAAGCCTCAGTGACTCCTGACTGTACAAACAGACGGCTCTGAACGACCAAATATTAACGCCTGCCAGAGAAAAGGTGTCCATCCTGTTCAAAGTGAGGCATCGATTGGTCTCAGTGTCAAAAGGTCAGACTCTTCTGAGGCCTGAGTCCGCACACATATCTACATTCAGCAGGAGAGCAGCGATGGGCTGTTCGGAAGAGATTGGAATAATAGGTGCGTAATTTACTGCTGTAAAGCCTTTTATATTCATTTAGTGTCGAGTAAAGGATGCAATAACAAACTTGTTTATTGTCAGTTTGAACATTGGTTAACTGAGTAACTTGTGAAAAACTAGAAAAGCAGAACAAAGCTTGATGTACATGTTACAAAAAGAACTTGTGTGGCCGTGGTTACAACATGAACACGGTCCCAACACGAGCTGCAGAGACCTCACAGCTGATTACAGGGACTTCATAATCCTCGTCTCCTGTGGCTTTATGCTAATGCTATTACTAAAGATAAACGTAAAATCAGGGTCTCATCACTCAAAAATCAAAATGCAATTAACCTAAAGGCGCGAGCGTCCCGGCTCAGCGTGAATCTCTTTTAACAGCGAACACGAGCCTCTGTGACACAAACAGAGGATGAGGTCAGACTGCAGCACAACAGAACCGGGTGCAGCCTGGAGTCACGCTGCACCGGCAAACAGCTTAATTGTAGAGGTACTGTGAGATGAAGCGATGCAGCTTCTGCCGGTTCTCTGACAACTGGAACAAAGGGCCGACACCCAGGAAGACGCCTCCTCTCTGACGCTGCTCCGAGATGACCTGGAGTGAACATAAACACAGCCATGTCAGAGCACTCCACAATGCTTTTTGTTCAGTAACCTTTATTTGAACATGGCGAGAGAGCTCGCAGCTGTTCTTATCTTTAGTGTTTTTTGCAGAAGGCCAAATGAAAAACAAAGATGTTCTAACAGAGATAAAAACAAGACCTTTCAAAACACTGCAAAGAGAAAAACAAAGCTGTTTAATGAATAGCATTGAACCACCTTATTCACTCCGTATGAAATAATGAGGCACAACGGGAGAGCCAAACTTCAGATAGCGCTGTCCTTTCTTTTTGTAGCAGATGCATTACACACTTTTCTCCTTGGATTCGACCGGTAGATCTCAGATATCAAGCTGTCTTCACATCAGGGAGGGGAATTAGCAAAAGGATCCTAACGACGAGCCTGATAACCATTTCTGACCGATAGCCTCGATAAGAGAGTTAATAATGGTCTCTAGAGATCCCTGCAGATATTTGGGTCAATGATGCTCTATTTCTACCACCATTGATTCCCGACCTACAGACTTCTAGAGGAGACTGATTGATGTGGACTATTTATTCCTTTTGAAGGAGCAAGAGAAGAGAATATGTGCTCAAAAGGAGACATATAACTATGCGTAACAAGGCTTTAGTGATCTGATGCTTTCTGCCATATTTCTCTACAGTTCCTTGTTTCCCTTCTCCTTTGTATGATTCCTTGCTGTTGTTTGCAGAGTCAGGGCAGATGGAGGCACCAGACGCTCATATAGACCATTTGCCTTCCTTCCTGCACTGTCTGAAAAAACATTCCACAGACTTGAAAACAACTGCAGCTTGATAATCCATCGCAATAAATGTGAAGCCGTTATCTGGTCTCGTCAAAGTTAAATCCTAGACTCATTGTGCCTGAGTGGATTGTTTCCATATCAGGTCCCCACGCAGCCCACAGGAACAACCAGAATGTGTCACTGAGGAATCCTCAGTAATAGTTTCCCAGCATTCAAGATCTTAAATAGCGTAGAAAAGAATTTCACTTAAAGCAATAGCCCAAAATACATTGTGCAATAAACCTTTTTGCTTCCTTGCCGTAATGTAATTGAGAAGATTAATACCACACTTGTGTCTGTTCTGTAAATATGAGCCTGCCGGCAACTAATAGCTTAGCATAAAGACTGGAAACAGCTAGCTCTGTCCAAAGGTTTAAAATACACCTACCAGCACTCCAAGCTCACTTTTAGTGTGGTAGTTTCATATAAAACAAATATTATTTTACAAGCGAATAATATATTTTATGTGCAAAATGTGTATATGTAGTTAAAGTAAAACATTTAAATTAAGTCCAATGGCTCGCTCAAATCTGCTTTACGTTTGTCAAACCAACCCACAGAGTATTTTTACAGTTCATGAATATTTAGTTCTGTGAAGAAGTGCTGCCAACACACTAGTGACCTACTCTGAATACTGTGTGTATACGTTTAGAAGGTACCATAAATGCAAAAGAAAGTACAGGCTTGGATTACAAGCTTGAAGGACACCAGTATTTTTCTTTTTAAAGAGCAAAATGTGCATCAATTCAAAGACTGGAGGCTAACACAAAGTGTGGCCTGTAGTACAGCTCTCCAACTTATGATTTAAATCACTTTGTGTCCTTGGTCCAGTGAATTCTCTTTAAAGATTGACATTTCTGCCTCAAACATGATTGGATGTGGCTGACTTGAGTCAGGCTCAGTTTCCCTCACGTTGCAATAAAATCTGGTTGGATTCCTGTTCACGCCGAGCTCAAAGCTCCAGCATACTGTTAGAAAACGCTGCCAGCAATTGACTGATTAAAAGCGATTTTGAGATTTGGGTTGGACTCACGTAGGAACAGATTCATGTTAAAACAGAACTTTTTAATGGAGTTGGACTGCGCCTTAACTTTCAGTCTTGAATCGAGCTGTAATTCTCTCATGACAGAAAGACAGATTTATAAAAACAGCTACACACACACACACACACACACCCACACCACACACCCACACACCCCCCACACACACACACACACACACACACACACACACACACACACACACACACACACACACACACACACACACACACACACACACACACACACACACACACACACACACACACACACACACACACACACACACACACACACACACACACACACACACACACACACACACACACACACACACACACACACACACACAGGTAGAGGCTGTCACTCACCCCCAGGTCTATTAGTGATCTAACAGCAGTGTGTGCAGCCTCCTGCGAGCAGCTCTCTGTGAGATATGGCACAAAGGCACATGAATCAAAAGAACAGACAGTTATCCAATACAGAAAAAGCAGGTCGGGATAACAGAATAAAACCATCACCAGTGGGACTGATGGGACTTTTATACTGAGCATTATTCAAGGGTGTCAATTGGGTAATTTCTGATTGTCTCATGTTTTATAAGAAGAGGAGAGCGAGGAGTCTCTGCTGAATGTTACAACAAACGCTGACTCAGTGGGAGAAGACAAGCTGACAACCTTTCAGAGTTAAGAAACAAAGGAAGGGAAGATCTTGGTGTGTGTTTGTGAGTGTGTGTTCTTGTGTCAGGTAGAGCTCACCATAGTGCTGCTTCTTAGTATTTGCTGTGTCACACAGATAGGACTGTATCTGAGCCATGAACTCTGCCTCTGGAAATAAAGAAAAATAGAGGCAATTCAATGAATAACACAGAGCAAAGTGATGAAAGCCTGGTAAGATACTTAAATATGGAGGTTTCATACTTCAGGGATATGCTATAAGGTACATTGATGGCTGTTGGGTGGCTACAAATGGCTTAGGGTGAAACATTAATACCATCATTTACTCTGGTTCTTCACTTTGAAAATATTCATTGTGCCCTAAGTGTACAGTACACACACCTGGCAGAGGTGTGTGTATGAGGTCCAGAGCAGTGGTGGTCCAGCACAGCGCCCTCAGAGGACCAGCGAGCATTCTGCAGAGGAAGAAGAGCATCTCTGGACACTGACTCGGATGGCTTATCTGGGGAAATACACAGAGAGG